ATCGCCACTGTCATCCTTTGGAGTATTTCAGAAAGGATTCCTGAGGTAGTCTTTGAAAAATGGCCTGATTATGATTCCATGGAAACCACTGACAAAATACTCACCAACTGCTACTGAAACCCATTTCAAAATTTAAATAATGACACGCTGATTTGGAGAAAGGAAATAGACATAAAACTGAGAAGAAAAAGATTTTTATGCCCTCGTTTTTGTCTAGCCAAATGAATGAGTAAAAGAATTTTTTAATGTCAGGAGGGAAAAAAGAACATTAGGAGAACACTTTCCTTCAAGATATTTCCTTCATTTTCATGCATTCCTTAAACAAGGATGGACAAGAAATAGCTCTTGAGCCTTGTAAGTAGGTCAGTCCCAGTTCTCATGCCCAAACCACGCTCCCCACTGTGGGAAGTAGGATATCAGCAGGGCTTGCATATATGCACTTTCTCTAGGTCTCATGGAGACTTCTTTCCTTCCTCCCTGAACCCAGTCCCACTTCTCAATGGAGTGGGGGCACACGGGGAAGCAATTGCATTTGAATTGCTCCCAAGCATTTCCTCTTCCCTTGGTTCTTCAGGCTATGTTAAATGTACCTTCAAGTTCTAAGCCAAATTGAGGTTTTGCTATATAGTCGTATGTTACAGGAGACCAATGACTTATGTATTAAATGGCTTCCAGACATATACAGTTGGTGAGTATATAAAAACTGCTTTTTGAGGGGCCTACAAATCTGGAATTATTTTCTGCAGTGATGCCACTTCACAAGGAGTATGAAGAGAACTCTTCCCACAAGTCCTAAGAACCTCGTAGCCTTTTTGATAGTACATGTGAGTTAAAACATGCCAAACGTAACACTTTCAGGACTGGTGTTTTGACCATTAGCTATTTCATTAAAAATATCTTCCTCTGTAAGGGCAGGCACGATTATTACTTTTTTTTTTTTTTTTTAACCAGGCAAATAAAAATATATAATTTGACAATTAACATTCCTCCATTCTTCTTTTTTTTTTTCATGCACAAAGTTACATGCACAGCCCTCAAGAGACATGGGACTCAGACCCTAGCTCATTGCTTTGTGGCCAGAACTAACTTCATCTAAGTGGGAACCTAAACATTTTGACCTTTGGTGAAAACACAGTGGTGTTTTAATGATTCTCTTCCACACCATTTATCTACAAATCACACTCATTGAAACAGTTTCTGATCCCTTGCAAAATCAGCAAGTTATAATATTTTCTTGCATTTTACAGGATTTCTGCATGAAATGGTACAATGTGAGCATTAACTAGTTTTTGGCATTTAACTGGATACACTTTCACACACTGAAGCCTTCATTTAAATGGAAAAGGCAAATGTATCCTCTGAACCACTGTATCTTAAAAATATATAATGTTCAAAGTCATGCCAAGACTAAGTGTTCTTGGACACCCCTTCATGTGGCTGATGGGAAGGAGCTGCTACACTGGGTTCTGTGATTATGAACAAACTACATGACTTTAATAGTCAAATATGCACTCAGGATGAAAAGAAATGTGCTCCTAAACATTAATAGACAATGTGTGTATCATTTAATCTATCTGTCTTTTAATTAGACACCTATAAATAAGTTGGCTGTTGCAAGGTGCTTCATAATCAGCCAGCCCTTTCCTAGATTAGCCTTTACAATTACGTGAGATAGCTACAGATTGTTAATTGTTACTATTTCTTCTATCATCATCATCATCATCATCATCATCATTTAAGGAACAGGCATTATGCCCCATTGCAATTTTGCATGCATGTCTGGGAAAAAAAGTGGATGACATAAATCGCATGCATAATCTCAGGAGACAATCATTTTAAATCTTAATTGGCTGCCTTTTAAATATCATTTAAGGTCTCGTTTTCCCTGCCTCTCTCTCTCTAGTTAAGAAGGTGTTGTGTCAAAGTCTATTACCTTGCTGGACGTCTCGCCTCTAAGTTTTTTTAAAAAAATAGAACCATCAGCAGAGGTTTGAGAGGTCGATAAAGCTTTTAGATTTGGAGATGTTTTCAGGGAGCCCATTTCCTGCGGCTAAGAGTTGTTAATGGAGCTTAAGGAATTATCTTATGACTCGAGCTGGGAGAGCCGTATATTTCTTCGCTCCTGTTCCCTTGTCGAGGCTGAATATGCTCCTGTCAAACTCGCTTAATGAAAAGTAACGCGTCGCTGATTACAGTTTTATTTGGGCTCTATGTAAAAAGCACTGTTAATTTAGCATCCCCTCCTTTGTGTGTTTGAATTTGCCATGGCTGAATGATTTAGAGTCTCTCAGTTTCAAGCCGTTTCTCTATGATTTTCCCCCCTCCTCTCTTTCTTTCTCAGCCTACCTTTATATTTCTGCTTCGTACACTCATACGAGCTGCTTTCCCTTTCAGCCCTGCAGCCTCCTCTAAACCAACTGAACCTGATCTTTGACTTGTGCTACTGAATCAAATGGCAAAATTATTTTCTCACACCCTTTTTTTCATACTTAAAAAAACCAAAACAAAACAAAACAACCAAACAACAAAACCCCCAACCCTTTTGAAAGACCACTGCATTTGATGGCTGCTCTAAGTTATAAGATCCGTGTACCAAAGCAAGAAACTGTTTTCCCTCCCCTTTAACCGATACAGTCTCTTCTCAGGATGGGCAATGTTTTGGTGTGAGCACACATAGGCACAGGCAGATCAGTCCTCACATACGGCTGGTCCCCTGGTCCGGAGAGCCCTGCTCTTGTTATACGGCAGGCATAAACTTACTCAAACTTCTTTTAGACAACAGTAACAAGAAAATGAAGGGATAAAGGGTTGAACGGCTTTTCTTTTGGCTTCTGGTGTTTCAGTGCGACTGTGTTTTGCCCACAGTGTTATCACCTTTAAGTCCAGAGGGGGCGGGGGGTGGGCGGCGGGTGTTGCCTCTCAAACAACGGGATGTCCAAATTGCATCCCTGACCTAACCAAAGCCGGCCAGCAATGACTTATATCGGTGTGCGGGTTCACCTGCCGAGAACTAGCCCAGGGCGGCCAGCGGTGCTCGGCACTCCGCGAAATCAGGACGCTTTTCAGGCTGAGAAAGATTTTTGACCGCTCGGGGGAGGAGACCTCTCCTTGCACACAGACACACGAAGTCCACACACACTCGGCTGTCACTCTGTTGGGAGCAAGACTGGAGTCCCCTTCCACTCCACAGAGCCTCTGGTCGCATGGAAACCGAAGCCCACCGGGAGCCCTCTTGTCCCCTCCAGTCCCTGCACATCCAGAAAGGCTGGCACACACAAATTCCCCCCGCTTTAACATTACACAGTCAGAAGGGTTTATGCCCCGTCTCGCTTGCTTCTGCCAGTGGTTTGAGGACAGCCCGAACACTCGCCTTTCCCCCCTTCCCTCTCTCTCGCCTCCTTCATCCCCATCTCCTTAGTTTGGTTGAAAATAATTTGCTTTGTCTAAAGGGTTTCAGAGGCAAAGCTCGCCGGCCGCCCCGGCTGCATTAAAATTCCTGCCGGCCCAGCCTTTAGCTCAGATCGCGGCTCCCCGGAGACTCCACTTTCGCTATTACTGTCAAGTACCCTTGACTCTTTATTTTTGCCCTTTTATCTATTACAACTAATTCGAGTTCTTTTGCCCTTTTCAGTTTAAGACGTGGGCTTTCTATAAAGCCTCCCCCTGCCACAGAGCTCTCTGGGTGCAGAGCCTTTAGAAATTGAGGGGTTTACTGTCAAAATGAAAATTTCACTTCAAATTATCTCGGCTGATGCACGTTTTCCAGGCCGGGGGCTCCTGTCTGAGCCTTTTGACAGCCAGATCAGCAGAGGGGTTCAGTGATCTCGATAATATCATCCAAGAGAGCGAAAGTCAATACAATGACAGGGAATATGACTGGATACAATCCAATTACGGCTGCTCGCTGAGAGGGGAAGGGCTTGATCTGATCTCCGCACCCGGATTCCTTTATTCAGTCCTTGCACTAACAGGTCTCGCTAGAAACTTCGCAGGCTGGAGTATGTTTTATTTTGACTGAGTGTTGTCTCGGTTGTGTTTATAGTTGCCTTTACAAACATATTTTTTCCCTATATTGTATTCTTATTTATTTATTTGGGGGGAGGGGAGAAGTTGGGCTGTCGGGGAGCCGAACATGGGATGGGTGAGAATGCTGGGAGACAAGGAAGACTCTTCTGCTTCTCCCGGTGTCAGCTCGGTCCTTCGGGTGCTCTCGATTTTCCCCCGCAGCGCCGGGCACCGGAGCTCAGGGGTTTTAGGCCGCCCTGGGTAAGCGGGATCTGTTATTGCCTCGCAGTTCTTTTCCAGCAGTTCTCCCTCTCTCCCGGTCCAGGGATCGGTAAAGTTTGTTCCCGTTCCGGGGAAGGAAATGAAATCTTTTAAGCGCCTGTTATCTAAGTGGTAAATTGGCTGAGAGTGCTCCTGAATCACACGTCGAGAGCGCTCTTCCTCCCTCTCTCTTTTTGTTGGCTGCACTCTATTTAATGTCAAAACGGTAAAGCATCTGTACTGAAGTGCTGAAATATTCATAGCGGATCAGCGATTCTCCGCACTGGCAGAGGAGCTGGAAAGCTAAAACGGTTCCTTAAAAGATCAAATTTTCCATGTGAATCAATTGCTCCGCGCACGGCGGAGGAGACGCCGCGGCAGAGCCCGGCCCTTAGGGGCCCACTCCCGCCCGCTCGCAGCTCGGGAAGGAGGGGAGGGGGGCAGCAGGGGTGCTTCCGCCCCGTCGGGCCCCCGCTGCCGGCCCGGGCGGCGGCTGGGGCCCGGCGCTGTCCCGCAGAGGCGCGGTACGGTGCGGGGCGCAGCCCAGCATCCCTCCTGCGCGCAGCATCCCTCCCGCGGGTCCGTCCTCAATCCCGCGGCAGCGCTGCGCTGAGCCTCTCTTCCCCTTTCCCGGCAGCCTGTTGACAGTCCTTGGAATTACCGGGACAGGCTCCAAAGGGGAATTTGGAACATAAAAGTTGTTTGTTGCCCAATGCAAAACGCCACCACTTGAGTTACCTCTGAAACAGACAATTTATTGGAGTGAGCATACCTTTTAACATATTCCTTTTTTTTATCAAGATAAATTTGTGCAGTAGGTGTAAACTTAGTAGAAGTGCTGTTTGTGAATTATATGCTAACAGGGAAATCAGGAGGAAAAACTCTCGAAAAGTCTTTATAACTAATATCGGCATGCCTTAAATTAAATCTGAATTAAAATTTCCCGTTTGTAAACTTTCAGATGTAAACTTTATAAGTAGGTCTACGCTATAGTACGTGCTTTTTGGACATGGAAATTAAATAACTTTCACGACATTGATCCCTTAAAGTCGCAGCCAGGAGAAAATCTTCAGAATTGCAATGAGCAAAGTCTGTTCGCTGAACTGAGCAAACTGAACTTTAAATCCTCGTTTCTGTTGTTTGTTTTAAAAAAAGGAAGAAGAAAAAGTTTTATATTTAAATTTAAATTCTTGCAAGTCTCTTTTCAGTGTAGATGACTCTTCAAGCGTTAGAAAGTCCTTCGCCCCTCGGCAGGCCTGTTAGGAACAAAACATTTTGCTTCCTGATTTGGGAAACGCCAGAAACTCTTTGTTTGAGTCATGATGGGCCAGGTTTGAGAGCTGCCCCTTGAGCACATTGGCGCCGTTCCCCACCGCGCGTCCCAGGGCGCCCGTTTCCAGAATGGCTCCTTTGGTGGTAGCCCAGGAAACTGTCGTGTTGCTCAGGGCTTGGTTCAAAGTACTGTGCCTGAACAGGGGGTCGTGAAACACCCCGTCCACCCAGTTCCTGAGGTTGGTGACCGGCGAATCCTGGTGTCTGTCGATGACGCTGACTGAGCCGGGAGCGGCGGCGGCGGCCGAGCCCCCGGGCCGTTTCAGCATGCAGGAGGGGTACTCGGCCTGGTTGAGGGAGGTGGCGGTGTGCGCCAGGGACCAAATCCGGGGCTTCGCCTCCAGCAGCTGCTGCCCCTGCTGGAAGCATATCTTGGACTCGCAGCCGCGCTGCCGGGCGCCCAGCGGGTCGGGGCCGCACTCCTCCGCCGCCGTCTTCAGGCAGCTCCGCGCCCGCTCTGCCGCCGCCGCCGCCTCCTCCTCCTCGTCCCCGGCGGCAGCCGGAGGCGGCATCTTGGCGGGAGGCTCGGCGGCCCTCGGCGGGTGGCTGCCGGGGTGCGGGAGCGGGTGCGGGAGCGGGTGCGGGAAAGGCCGCCTCAGCTCGCACTCCGAGCTCTCCGACTCGGCGGCGTCCAAGTCCTCCAGGTCGCTGAGCTCCAGCTCCTTCTCTTCCTTGCCCGTGGGCTCTGCGGGGCGGGGGCGGGGGAAAGGACAGCAAAAACAAGACACACGGTCACTGTCGGCGCCGCGCTGCCCCGCGGCCGCCCCCACGAGCGAGGCCCGCGGCCGCCCCCACCAGCGAGGCCCGCCCCGGGGGCGAGCTGCCGGCCGAGCCCCCGCGGCCGAACCGCTAAGTGACTGGTTTTAGCAGGGTACCCTCGGCTTTTCCGCTCTTCATCGCCTCTTCCTGCGAACCCTCCTCCTCCTCCTCCTCCTCTTCCTCGTAGGGCCGCTTCTCGTCAGAGCACTTGTTCCGCGGGGGCCAGGTCATCTTATTCTCCTTCTTGAGCCGCCGGCGGGCGTTGGCGAACCAGGTGGACACCTGGGTGAGGGTCATCTTGGTGATGATGGCCAGCATGATCTTCTCGCCCTTGGTGGGGTAGGGGTTCTTGCGGTGCTCCTGCAGCCAGGCCTTCAGCGTGCTGGTCGTCTCCCGGGTGGCGTTTTTTCTCCGCGTTCCGCCGTCCATCGTCCCGTACCTGCGGGCACAGGGTAGCCCCCGCGGTGTGACACCGCGCCCTCCCCCCCCGCGGACCTGCCCGACGCTGGATCCCAAGGCCCCGACCCCCGGCCGCTTGTCTGCAGCACCCCCAGGGGGGTGGCTAGACCGGAGAGAGGGGAGATAGATGAAGATGAAGACAGCTCAGTTTTAAGGAGGATGAGGATAGCTCAGCTTTACGAGGGGGAGCTCGAGAATTCGGAACGAGGAAGGAGAGCAAGAAGGAAGGGTTCAGCTAGCAGCAGCACCGGCCAATGCAAATTCCCGCTGTGCCTTGGCGGTGGTGGAAGAAAGAGGGAAGGAATCGCCTGCTTTTATTTGCGGTAAAGTCAATGTCAACATTTCGGGCAGCAGGGAAATCCTAGCAGCTTGCAAACTCACAGAAATACCACTTTCCTGTCCTTTGATTAGTCCTCCCCAAACAGAATTCATCTAGGTGACCCCAGGGTGTAAGTGTTAATAGAAATATATTTCCTCTTACTCCTTTTATTTGTAATCTCCTCTACCCTTTTGTTCCTGAAATTGTAGGAACGTAACGCAGATGACACTGGGCTGCGACTGAATATTTAATGCACATCCTCCAGGAAAGGTCACCGGCGCCCAATGGGCCTCCGAGCTGGAAACGGTGTGTAAGTGGTTTTGCGCTGGTTTAAAACTAATAAACATACACCGGATGCCCAAGCCTGACTCCGCACAGGAAAAGATAATTACCACCGCAGTGGAGAAGGCTCGCCCCCCGCTCTGCCGCCCTCCCGGGGAGGCGGAGGACCCCGTGTCGGTGTGGGAAAGGGGAGGCGACATGTCTGGGGCCGGGAGATGCTGAGCGGCGAGGAGGCATGTTGGCGGGGCGGGCGGGAACGGGATGTCGGGGAGGGGACGGAGGAGGAGGGAGGGCAGCGAGCGGGGCCGGGAGGGGTGTGTGCGCTTACCTGTCGTACTGGTACTGGCTGAGGGTGTGATCGTAGGGATAGTAGGCAGTCGCCGGCGCGATTCCCGCATGCGCAGACCCGCTCCCGTCCTTCGCATCCAAACTGTTCTGCAGGAGACACCGCGCCGCCGCCCTCAGCCCCCACCGCCGGGAGAACCCGGGACCCCGCCCCGGCTCCCCCGCCCGGGTCCCGAAGGGGCGCGACGGACCTTCCCGGAGGCCCCTCGGCCGCGGCAGCCAGCGAGATCAATAGAGACATTAACTCGCGCTGTTACGGTGCAGGGGGGGGGGGGGGGGGAAGAAAAAAAGAAAGAAAAAAGGCTGTCTGGGAAGAGAGCATCATTCTTTGCGAGCCTGGGTCTGAGTCGCCCTAAACTGCCCGCCCCGCCGGGCCCTCCGCACTCGGCCGCCAGCTCGTCAGGCGCGACTTTTAATTGCGTTACCGTGAGGACGGAGCCGCCGGGCTGGAACAGCTGCGGACCGCGGCGCTGGACGCGAACGCGGGGAGCGGCACGGCGGAGCGGGGGTTCGCAGGAGAAGCACCCGGGGCTATCCCCGCCCGCGGAGGGGTCCCGCCGACCAGCCTTGGCCCCTGGGGGCTCGGGGGTTGAGAGGGGGGTCGGGGCTGGCGGGCGGGAGCATCCATGCCCCGCGGCGGCGGGCGCTTACCAAGGAGTAGAAGGCGGGAGCCTCGGTGCCGTAGGTCACGTAGTTTCCATAGCCCTGGGGCCCGGCGTAGGGCCCGCCGTAGACCCCCAGGGCGGCGGCGGAGTTGAGCTCGTGGCGCGCGGTGGCGAGCAGGCGGCTCTCGTACACCGGGCAGTACACAGGGGTCTGGGCGGAGGCGGCCGCCCCTGTCTCAGCCAGGGTCCGACCGCTGGACTCGCAGCACGTCGTCAGGGAGTTGGTGCTCATCAGGAACTGGAGGGAAAGAGAGCGGAGCTGAGCGCGGGGGGGAACTTCCCGAAGTGTAACCAAGTTTGGGTTCGGTTGTTTTTTTGTTGTGTGGTTTTGGTGAGTTTTTTGTTTGGTTTTCCTTTTTTTTTTTTTTTTCCTTTTTTTTTTAATCAGGTCCCAACTTTGGGATGTCGCCCGTCCTCCTCCCCCCCTTCCGTATTTTACTTCAATCGTGATAGAAACTCTCTGGAGAAACGCAGAAGTGCAAGTATTTTATCAGTTTCTTTTTAAAAAAGACCCCACAACAACAACGACAACAACAACCACCAAACGCCTCGTGACTGTGGGCATTTAATCCTCTGTAATGCATTCCTCCGGCCCTCTGCATTTAAAAACTAACTTTTCTGGGATGTTCTCAGAAGACTGAGGTTTACACCGGTTTCCTCCTCTTGCAGCACAATGCTTCCCATCTGCGTTTTTAAACCTTTTTTTCGAAGTCACTCATGCATATTTATTTTGACTGCAGATTTGTAGCAGCCACGCACGCATCTGCTATTAACCTGATGGCTTAGAATATCTCGTTCTGTTTGTACGGGCCGGACCTCCCTACGTCCATGTTTGATTGGTAAACTGTGAATTTAATCATGAAAGAGGAAAAAAAAAACGAGAAAGGAGAGAGGGAGAGGGTGGGGGTTGGGGGATGTCTAGCCCCCTTTCTCACCTCCCTCATCTCTGTAATCCTCCCTCACGAGTCATTATCACCCCCAAACCCCCTAATACAGCGTGTTCCTTCCCATTTTAAAATCGGTGCGCGACACAGAACTTGGGCATCTTGGAAAGCTGCGAAGCGAGCAGCCGCTCTGCCGCTGCCGCATGCGGGAGAGGATCGCTGCCGCCCTCAGCCCGGACGGAAGGCATCGATAAAGACTGAAATGCAGTCAATTAACGTTGGTAGGCAAAAAGTCTTACCTGGGGTGCAGAGGAGTAAGGGTAGCCAAACTGAGGATAGGACATGGTACAGAGGCTCCCAGTTATCTAGAAACAAGGCGAGACGTCTGATCTGCACGCTATTGCAGCCTGGCTCTGCTCTGTTGTACCAATTGATTGGTAACCACAGGTCCCTAGATGCTTATAGGACGAAGCAGAAAAGCACATTTACTTTATTTACATGAAATCTTAAACTTTTTCCCCCCCCTTTAAAATATATACAGTGATTTTAGCGCCTTTCTTACTACGAAACAGAAATAATTGTTACATTGGCTCCAAGGCTGGCATACGTGATGGTAGAAATACATACTTTGCACCCACGAAAAAAAAGAAACGTGATACAAACACATCAGTTCACAAGCACGTTGTGTTAAAAGAGTCAAGCCTCTGACGTCACGCAAAACCTATTCAAATTAACCTGCCTGTAAGTTTAACACTCATTTTCGGGAACCTTTCCCCTGGCGTGGAAAATAGACTCTCCAATATCGCTTTCAGAGTGCCTAATAGGGGTGAAAGTTTGGGAAGCTCTCTGGCAGCGGCAACACCTGCTTGCAATATTTATATATATTTCTGCGGGCAAGGGAAGGAAATGAATGTTTTTAATCTGAAGGATCAATGTTGTATCAGCTAAGATTTTCCCTCACCCTCCTTAGTCACTGAAAGGCTAGTAAGCACTTTTAATTAGAAATTAATTAATGAGCAGCTGCTTCTTCCCACCCCACAGTAATAATTAGTCTCAATTACAAACAAGACATATGAAGGGACACACGACTGAGTCTTCATTTAAGATTTAATCAACAGTTAAAATTAGCACTAACGCTGACAATAAAGCACATGATAAGCAATCTCTCTTTTCTTTTCCGCTTTTATTCCAGACGTGTGATTACAGGTAGAAAACCTTACAAGCATCTTTCGGGTAATAATGGAAAAGATGTGACTTTTCACGTTAAAATGACTTAGATCCCATCTCAAAACTCCAACACCCCCTTCTACCCAAACCATCCTACCGCTGCCATCAGCCTCCCTACCCTCTGGGGAACTGGGACGCCCCCCACACACGAGTAGGCAGCATCCCCTTCTGCTTCACCCTCGGAGGGAGCAGGAATGGGCCGTCAGGGGAAGATGCTGGCAGCCCCAGCATCTCCTCCCCGACGGTCGATGCCACCGAAGAAGGGCGAGCAGGCAGCCCCCGGGAGGATGGCAGAAGGAGAGGAGTCAGCTCCGAGGATGAAGCTGGGCTGCTGGTGCAGTTGAACGCTGCTCTGTGGTGTGCAGACTTGCTCAGAGAGATTCCTGGGTTCAGACATGTGAATAGCCCCAGGGTCACACTCTAATTAATGATGATGTTCTCTTCTTCTCCCCAGCTGGAAGACTGCCTCCCAGAAACGAATCTGCCCACACTGACAGCTCGATTGAGGGTGATTGATGACTATCTGGAGACCACAGTACACATAATATAATATCTGATGCGTAATTGCTTTAATTTACAGATGAAAATACTAGTTCTGGGATTGAGTTAGACTACAACAAGAGGCGTTTTATGGTGCTTTAGAGTGTTTGCGAATAAAATATATCAGATACAGTACATGCAAATTTTCCTGACAGCTCAGTATCTGTAGCCTGGAGAAACGTACAAAGAAAGGGAGTCAAATGACATAAATAATTTGTTTGGAATTCTGTATTGATTTTTGGAGGGGAAGAAACTGCTTTTTCTTTCCTCACCTGAAATGCTAATTCCCTTTTCTTTCTGGGAATATTAATAACTTTGCCACTGACTTTCTTTTACAGAAATGCGCCTACATTCTTCTTCCTATATTATACCCCGGTGCTGCCAAGGTATAATGACACTTTTAGAGACTCTTTGCGAGCAGCTTCCTTCTGTGCGGCATACTGACGGGCTATCGCATTGTTTGGGAAGAAAAGACACCCAGTGTTTACACAATGGTATGCCCGCAGTGTTCGGTGCTGCTCCCTCTGCCTTCTGCGCCCATTGCGCTGGGGGATGTTTGTTTAAGCTCCGGAGTAAAACTCACCGGTGCTAGGAAAGAAAATAGTTGCACTTATCTCAAGAGTGGTTCGGCGTAAAGCACTATAATTAGCTGGGAGAGCTGGAGAACTGCCTGAAGAAGTCCTCCCAGTTTTCCAGGCTACAGTTTGGAAAATGTCCTAGTGTTGTGGGTTTGGGTTTTTTTCCCCCTTCTTTTGATAATACTGCAGATGTCAACTCCGCAGTGGCCCACAGAATACTACAGGTTTTGATATTTAGATGAGTCTATTAAACTTTAAAATACAAGGAAAAATTCAATATTTATGGTCCTTGTCTATTTATATATCACAGTTGTCTTTCACTGTGCCATGCAAATACTCTGTGCTCATTTTTGCACTGAACTTTCCTGTATTAATCATGATAATTATTTGTCATTTTTCTTTGCAGCCTGCCTGCTCTATTACTCTACCCCTGGTCAGCTTTGTGTCAGTTCCAATCTGTATTCCCTAGAAAGCAGTCGTCAAAATAACCCCACCAAAACAAACAAACAAAAAGAAAAGCGATAAAAAAACTTAATAACCTTAAACGCTAAAAACTGACATTACGTCTTTCCCCACTGCTGATGTCTTGTTTCACTTACAGTCTACAAATAATGGCCCTTTGTTGATAAGAAATTCAACACAGATATATTTCATCTTGAATTTTTGGTGCGAGAGCACAAACATGCATTAAGCCCCACAATGATTTAAAATAACCTCTGTGGTTCTTGCACATAAACAACGTAACACTGTTCAAATCCAAGCAAAGACGCTTAATGCTGTGGGCTATATCCTTAAGCATTTGGAAAATGCAAGTCTTTGCTGTGCAATAAAAATTGATCCTTGTCAAAGCCCCTTTCCTGTACAAAGCGGTTAACAGCTTTCGAGAAAGAGAAACACACACACTACTTTCTCCAAACTTTGAGCAAGGAAACCCATCGGGATCAATAGAAAACGCTGGAGAGTTCCCTTCTGGTCAGAGTCAGCCTGCACACCCAGGCAAGCAGGTATTTCCCATCCAAAGACCAACCAGGTCTCTCTCCCAGGTCTATGTGTTTCTTGTCCAAGAACCTGGAGCCAATGCTCATACAAGTTTTATTGTAAAAGCATGGAATGAGAAGGAAACACTGTGATGCTGGAACAGGCCACAGCAGGTAAAACAGAACCTCTTCAGGATTCATGCTTTGATGGACGTCTTCAGGGACATGATCTAAAGGCAGTTAATGCAGCTACACTTACTATCAGCGTTTTCATCGCCTTCTCTTTTGGAAGGGTTATTGCCACTCCTGGAAATATTTCAGCAACGGAATTTGCTTATGGGCTAAACAGACTTTAGAAAGCTCATTCAGTCAAGTTTGCTTTGTTTTCATATTATAGATTTAAAGCAACATTGACACCACCTGACAAACACTGTGAAGCTCTACATATTGCCCATTTGGAATCTGACATGGAACTGAGGGCAGCCTACACAATTTTCAAGTAGATTATCTCATAAACTCGCTATCAATAGCAAATACGATTTCCCCCCCCCCCTCCCCCCGAGCCTATTTAAGATGTAACTGCACCTCTTTCACTCTGAATCAAGGGACAGCGAACCAATGCTGCCGACCTGCACAAACCCATGCCATGGGCTCAGCAGAGCCATGATGACCAAGAGAACGGTTGCATAAGAAGGAACCGCAAATTAACTTACTCAGATTACAACTATAAGTAAAATCAGTTGTTCAAAGCTATCCATTTGAATGCTTTCATTTTGTAAATCTTCAATCCCCTTGGCAAACAATCTAGATTAAAGCAGAAAGGCCTCACATGCTCATTCTGTTCTTTGTATTTATTAACTTTTCACACTTTAGTACTAGAGCTAACACTTTCTCTCTCTCTCTCTCTTACACACACACAAGCACACACACACACACACGCACACGCACGCACACACAAAACTTTTCAGCAAGAGAAGCAAACGCTGTAACCCTGGCATCTGCTCTATGGCTATAGATGAACCCTACGACATTCCCACATTTACCTGCTCGGTGCAGAGCATCACAACTACGCTTTCATTAGCAAAGTAAAGATTGTATAAGGTTTCCTTTCCCAGCTCCTGTACCCCTAGTGCCGCAGACCCGCAGGCATTCAGGCGCCACCACCTTTGAGCTCTCTGGCAGCCGACAGCTTCAACTTACTTCCCTACGAAGGTAAAACTTTACTGCTTGCGAGGTCAAATTCTATGCCTTTTAAAGTTCTCCTTAAAATCCAGAAAGTTTGACTCGGTACCTTACCTTAGCGCTCGTTGAATATCATATCCACACCCCCTTCCCAAGAAATAATACACATATGTTACAAGACATTTGCCCTCTGTCCTAGGTAAAGATTGCACAAAGCCAAATGATTCATCACAGATAGTTTCTCTTCCCTCCAGCAGTTCGTTTTCAGCTGCCTTGCTGCTAAAGCAGGCTCCGAAGGAGGAGGGGGGGATAAGCCCCACTGCTCCCCCCACCCCCCGCTTCCGTAGAGAGAGAGAGACACACACACATATACACACACACAAACATCACTACCAAAAGAAGAAGAAATTTTTTACCTGCGATCACGCCAGGCTTCCGCTAAAACCTGGTAGCGACGGCTGTGCCATGGCAAGGCTTCTCTCCTCTGGTCTGTGCTGGCTGGCGTGGCAGGGAGCTGCGGGGAGCTAACGCAGACATGTCTCAGTGCGCGGTACCTGCGCGGCGCGGCACGGAGCCTTCGGTCCCCAGGCGCCACAGCCACTTCACTAACCCCCTGTACCAGAGTGACGCTCAAGTGAATAGTTCCACTGATTACACTCTTTCCTACTGATTAACACTTTCCAACACGACCAGGCACTCCACTTCCAACTTTTCCCGTTTTAAAACAGAAGCAGACAGCACCGCTTGCTTCCGCGGGTTATAAACGCCGTCTGGGGCGTGGGGGACACCATAATTAATAGCAGGTTAGTAAAATTAGTGCTGCCACTCCAATTGTTGTCC